TTCAACAAGAGTTCTTAGCTCTCCCCCTTCATGGTGAGTGACCTGAATATAGTTTAAGTGGGTCCTTTGCTCATGATCACTGAAAATGATGACCAGTCAAACTGATCACAAAGATTGACTCCTTCACCTACTTGCTCAAATCTACTGAGTGGCCCAACCTTGATTGATGATTTACTTTTACACTTATTGATATTTACTAACTACTTCTCCAGCGATATGGAGACTTGAGCCATAGTTCATGTCATGTTCAAAAGAAGGGCAAAAATAAAACCAGTTAGCCTTTTAAGAAATTCGGCCTCTGAATAAAATTTGAAATCAAAATGACTTGTAACATGAAGAAAATAATTATTTTTTGACATAAAGGTTAGGCTTGAAGTGTTTCTCTCCAAGGTTTAATATTATAAGAGATTGGTTTAGAGTCTGTACAAGAAACTCGAGATCTCACGATTTTGAAAAGTATATAAAATGAACGTTCTGTGATGTGCCTGCACTTTTTTTTTGAGTCTTGCTTACTTCTATAAAGTCAAATGTCATGTCAATGCTAGAAGCAGAGAAAAGTGTGACCTCCTACCTTTGAGCCCACCAACACAGAAGGGCACATCCTAGGGTGAAAGCTTTGTGTTGCAGACCAATTGAAGCCATATGGCTTAGTGGGTAGGAGCCCCAAACCCCCTTCATCGTTGATCAAAGCCCATCACCCTCACTGAAGATGACTCCCTTTCGGGAAGTTACAAGTGGTGTTAAATTTCAGAGATCATAAAAATGAAGGCGAACCAGGGCATGATAGACAAATTATTCAAGTAGGAATACCTGGTGAATATCTTTTAAAGAGTAAGTTTGCTCAAGTTTTGTATGTGGTCTTAAATATACCACAGGTAGGATGTAAGGAATGTGTACTGAAACAGCTGCTGAAAAACATCTATAAAGCAATCTTCCATTTTCATGCTTTTAAATTGTTTTTATCCATGTCTCTCTTGTCAAATGCACTTACGGAAAATTAAAAGGATTTTTGCCGTTCAGTTGTCTTAGGTTTGGGGTGAGGATATTATTTTGGTGAGTTATCTGTAAAAGGCACTTTAAAACACAGAGCCATCAGCTCCCCTGCCTCCTGGTCTGGGGTCTTCCTTAGATGGTGGTGGTGGTGGCATGGTCTGTGTTCAGCCTTAGAGGACTCATGGGTCACCCCCTTGGAGGGTTAGGAGAGAAAGCCGCTGTGCTGGGTGGTAACACAGCCTCGGTGCTGGACTCTGAGGCACATTCACAGCCTCTGGCAGCTTCTGCCACTCCATCCGTTTCCCAATTATGAGTTCCTTTCCCTAGCTGGCGCCTAGAAATAAAGCTGCATATTGTGGAGGAACAGGGTGACTCTGTAACAGAAAGCTAAAGTGTTTCTCACTGGTACACAAGAATCCTTATTTCTTATCCCTGTGACAACATTTTAATACAATTCTTCAAAAGGTTGTTCTTTTCTTCCCGTCAGATCTTTGTTCTTTTTCCCATGCCATTTCTCATTCTAAACTTGGATATGACTTCCTCTACAAATAAATTCTGATGCCAATAACAGGAAAATACTATTTTTACTTCTACCAATCATAATTTGACAGGATGCATGCTATCCTTACAGAATATCAGTTAAAATAATTTAATTAGCAAATGGACAGTAAAAAAAAAAAGAAATACAAGAATGTTGATTTTTTTAAACGTGCAAAAACATTTTAGAAACCCCATTTCTACTTGATTGAAATAATTATGATCTAGATACTAAAATAATTTTTATTTAAAATGTCATGAGGTCCAGGAATTATGTATAACAATTATTTTAAATTTTTAAAATTATTTTAATTTAATTTCTCAATTATTTAAAACTACTGCAGAGATTAACATATAATCGGGAAAAGAAGAAAAACATGAAGCAATATCTTAGAGAACACATGTAAACTAGCACAATGTTCTATAATTTATAGTGTGAACCATATTCATAAAGGTTAAGAAGATATAGCAGCATCATGTAATTTAAATCAAGTGATGCCATTTGTGAGAAACTTTATGTAAGTGTCCAGCATTTTTGATAATAATTTGAACAGGTTTTATTCCTTTGACATTTATCAGAACAATTTATTCACTCATTGAGAAATACATAAGATGAGCCCTCAAATTTTTGAGGTTACTGCCTGGAGATTTCTAAACCATGATGCAAGAAGGGAGGAAGGAACCCAGGAACAGCCCAGTGGATTTGCTAAGTTGACCTGCAAATGTGGCAAAGCCAAGGTGGCCAGAGGTCACAGGGAAAAATACTGGCAAGTACAGTGCTACAGAGAGAGAGACAGAATAGTCTGGAATATATCTCCCTCAAATACTGCTTAGTTTAATATTAGCAAGCTGATGCACATGATGAAATTACCTAAGGCTGAGAAAACAAGCCACCAAAATAATTAGAGGAACAGTGCCTGGAGGTGTTACAGTACTGGAAGTAGTGAATGTTCCCAGTGCCCCAGCAGAAAACTTCCTACTTCACAGGGAATTAAAGTATTAAGGAGGGTTTTGCCACAGTCAGAGAAAAACTTAGCCCTAGATTAAAGACTACCCTGATACTCCCTAATAAAGCATTAAGAGAGATACAAAAGGATCAAAATAACTTACCAATTTCTAGAAATAGCTCAAAAAAATATTTTCAGACACAAAATATCCAACAACCAAAAAGGTAAAATTAACCATGGCTGCCCCCCCAGTGAAAAAGTACCCAGCACATGAATCCATGGGTGGAATGAGAAGGAAGGAGATATATAAGTGACAATTTTAACAAACTCTCACACAGTAATGTGAATGGGGTAGAGGATTTTTAGAGTGATATGAACACAGAGGAGGATATTTTAGATTGAGTGGTCAGAGGGGCAACTTTGAAGAGATAGCACTTAAGCTGAGATCTGAGTTTCATGAAGCCTGGCCACGTGAAGAGAGAAGGAGGACTGTAGGTAGCTAATAATAACATCTTAAGAGAAGAACAAGCATCTGTGGCTGAACATTACCGTTGTCACAGAAATCTAGGCTCACATTGTTTGTATTCACCACAACAGATGGTATTTGAATAGATACTTGTATTATTTAGATGTGGTTTGGCTTCAAGATTCATATGTTGGGAGCTAGGTCCCCAGGGTGGCTGCTTGGAAGTGATCAAAGGAGATTTTGGCACCTGGTGTCTCAAACATGCCCTCCTAACAGGATGTGACACACCCTCAAAACCATGATGTGAGATAGCCTCAAAAGGGTTTACACCAGAGCTGAGCCAATGTCAGCGCAATGCACTTGAACTTCAAAAAATTGTGCGCTAAATAAACCTCTTTTGTTTATAAAGTTAGCCTGTCTCAAGTATTTCGCAATAGCAATGAAAAAAATGAACAATTATAGATACT